TATCACCATCGAGTAATTTCTTTGCCAAGGAGCAGTGAAACACTCCCCTTTCCATCAGTTACATTCAGCTGATTTCAAAATAAGGATTCCAGGCTGCTGTTACAGATATTAAATCTGGTGAGGGCGCGTGTTGTCGGCGTCACGGACACTGTGCAGATACTTCAATCATGTCCTCAAAGAGGCTTTTAGTTTTCTTTCCAGACTAGTTTATTTCCACTGAAAAAAAAAAAATGGATGGGCTCAGAATTAGCCTGTGAAATAAATGACACTGGTCCCTCCTGATTCATAAAACATGTCCTAAGATGTCAAAATAGTTTAGCCTCTTGTTTTCAAAAGCGATGCTTTATCATGCTGCCAGCGGTGAGGGATTGAGCGCCCGGCTAGAAGCAGATAATAAGAACAAAGTCATATTTTAAATCAATGTATTTTAAAGTTCATGACATCAAATTTCACTTCCCATGCTCTATTTTGCAAATTCTTCTGGATTGCTAAAGGGATAAACGATGCACTTCTTATTCCTGAAGAACAAACCGAAACTCAAGCAACATGTGAAGCTTGTTGAAAGAGAAGTCTAATCTGCAGCAACTGCACATTCCTCGCGCCTCCTTGCATTTCATAAAGGCCTCTCCGTCCTGAGGACCAGGGGAGAATCTGCTCATCCATTTCCACTGCACTAGCATTTCACTTGCGTGTTCCTCACCCACTTACTCACGGCAGGTTTGAGGAAGATCGGCTTCTGGGGTTCAGAGGCAGTGAACCCCAGCCCAGCTCACATTTGCTTGGGCCCTGCTGGGTGGGCGCAGGCCTGGCTGTGGCGGTGCAGCCTGGGCCGGACTCCAGGGCGAGGTGCTCTCCGGCGCGGCCAGGTCCACACTCGGGGGCAACAGAGGAGAGCCTCAAGGTCACCCCTGCGCCCCCTGTGAGGATGGAGAGCGGTGCTCCTCAAGCTAACGAGGAGTGCTCCCCAACCTGAGGGTTAATGAGACACCCATGACGGCAAACACTTCTCCCAGAAATGTATTTGAAATTCTGATGTTGGATCTCTCTAATGAATAAATTAAGGAATATTTGGTGTACAGAAGAAGATTTGGGAGTTTTTATTTTCCAGAGACATCTTCCAAATGAAGGAGGAGAGTATTTTAGAGAAGTTAAATAATAAATCATTTTAATACTGGGAATAAAATTGCAACATATTTGTTAATATTATACTCACCCTACATGATATGCTTTGTAGTTAAAGAAACAAAGCCATCATTACACACTACTGATTTCTATAAAAATAATTAAATACAACAATATGTTCATAATGCACATAAAATATTCCTAATTATTAAAAGTATGGCTTGAAGAACATGCTTTATTTTAATATAAGCCCACCAAGGTGGCTTTATGGAAAGATTTATTTCTGCAATAAAATAGATATTAAATTTGGATTATAGATTTGAAGTCATTATGTAACCTGAAAGTATATGCTGTAGAAAGAACAGGCTATTTCTTGAACGGCCTTTCCACTTTGACATGTTCTTCTTTTAAAACTTTTTCCATGAGTAAGTTTTCCAAGTTATTTTTACTGAGTCAGTATATGTGTGACAGAGTTTCTATTCTTATCTGGTTGAAGTTGCATCACCCGGATCTCATAATTCTCACTGGTAGTTAGACTTACAGAGCCATCAAAACTTAGCCCGATGATCTTGAGTATGGTATATCATTTGAGTCTTAGTTTTCGCCTCTCTAAATCAAATAGCCTCCATGAAATATATAAATGATGCCTTCTCCCCTGTTCTGTATGTCTGTGATTCCTCACATCTGCGGTGTCAAGTCCTATTAAGATGGAGAAATATGACAGTAAAAGCTGCGCATGGTGGAGTCTGTCATTTTAAGTTGAGATTTCATCTTACTCCTTAAAGATTCAAAATATAAATGCATCTAACAAGAAGAAATTAGTCAACAATAACAGCACTCTAGTTTAAAAAACGAAAGATAATGATGATGGGACACCTTGTGACTAGGTCACGCATTCCAAAGTGCAAAAGCTAAACTCCATGTTCCTTTTGTTTCCCTTTTTCTTGTAGTTTAAGATTAAAAAAAAACTATGGACCCATGCCACAGGGGTAAGAGCAAAGGGAATGTTTTCACTTGACTCACCTCAGGAAAATCCGGAATCTCCATTCCTCTCTCTCTAAACAACATGCAACTATTCAGATGTCTAGTTTTGTGCCAGAACCCCTGTCACACAGCGTTTCTGAATGTGCATGTGTCCACCCTGGTGCTGAGCTCTGCTCACTCTGTTTCTCTTTCCGCAATGCTGCATATTATTTAATTTTTAGTATAATAAAGCACCGCATTCAACATGATTTTTAAATTTCAAGCACTATACAAAGAGCTCCTGCATGAGTTGCCTCTTCCTCACACCCTCTCTCCAACGGCCCTGGAATTATTTCCGATTTTAGGTCTTGTCTGGGTTTCCCCGCATTAGCGCTGCGGGGTCCCCCACTGCCCACCTGCTTGGGTCGGCACCGGGACCCTGGCCGCGGGCGGCAGTCTCCCGCTAGTAGGTGAACCAGCGGCTGCCAGGAGGAATCACACGCGTCCCAGCGGCTCAGAGATGGTGCTGGAATGTACTAGAAAGGAATGATGTAACGTATGGCACTTGGTTAAAAACACAGGCGCGAAGAGAGGAACTGAATTTCGAAATGATGATACAGAGATGATGTATCATCCCTCTATGAAATATATAAATGATGTTTTAGATGATGTATAAATGATGTATTACAATACATCCCTCCATGAAATATATAAATGATGCCTTCTCCCTGTGTATGTCTGATTCCTCACATCTGTGGTGTCACGTCCTAGTAATATGAGAAAATATGACAGAACAGAGTATTCTAATAGACTGGAGGACGTGGTCAACCAGCTCCCAGGAAAATCCAGCTTCCAGGAGTTCACAGAGTTAACAGAAAACACGGTGTCCTCAGCCCACATGCCTGCGTGACAAGAGTCATCCCAGAGAGAGAGTAACTGGCTGAGGCTGTTTCCTGGCAAATCCCATACAATAGTCAAGGAACGCACGACGCCAGGTTTATACAAAATCCTCCACAGAAGAGAAGGAGGTGGAGTTCTCTCTCTAACTTTTGTTTTCTTTTGAATTGAAGATAAACTCTGAAAGCAAGCAAGCTAAACAAATATAAAATTGATGGCTGAATCTCCC